TACTTCCCCACGGAGGTTTGATTAAAAGCACCCGTGTGTTTTGGTATCGCAGTCTCCCTGAAGACACCGGGATTGCTACCGTGCATTTACCACCATCCGCAGCAGTAGGTAACGCTGTTTCACCAGGGACCACGTTTATGAAGCTGCGGGGCCTGGAATGCTTGCGTTAGAAGCAGATGCTACGCTCTTGGCCAACACCGGCATCAGCTTGCTACTACTATGCTGTTCTCTGTTGGTTTGACAGTTAGACTGAGGTGAAAAAGTTGGGTTTACCTCCAAATGTTAAAACTAGCTCATCTGTGTGGCAGGGGGTCCATTATTTTAGCAGATTGAATTACTGCCTTTGAACCATGAGAATTTCCATTAGAAATCCAGAAGATTTTTTTTAACAGTGCAAGCACATTGTATTTATCTAAAACCTGCCTTTTTTAATGATGGTTTAGTAAAATATGGTCTACTGCTTGAGCCAATTCCTCAGTCCAATCCAATTAATATATTTTTATTTAAAAATTCTCAAAGCAGCACTTGCTGTCTCAGACCAACTCATTTCAGTGCCAAGGTGTTAAAATGGAAGCATTTTGTAAGAGCCCATCTTAACTATCCACCTATTCTTACCTATGGATCACACAAGCTGAATGAGAGAAGGAAAACTAAGTAGAAAATCCAGCTGCTCAACAATACAGCCAAAATGATAACTATTTGTTCTTAAAAAGATGATGCAGTCACACTCTTAAAAGCTGCAGTGAGGTTATCCACAAAGAGCTGAGCCCTCACAGGTATATTACCATCGATCTTGCAATTTAATACTTCACAACAATCCTTTAACATGTTATTGGGTTTTGATCTCCTTTTCAGTCACTCTCGAGAAGAAGATATTTAGGATGATGATAACCTCCTGAAGATGGTCCTCCAGAGTAAAACAGTTCCATTTCTACCTTCCCAAATAGGTGCCTCCGCAGTGGAAGTGGCACCTTCCTGAAATATAGAAAAGAAGAAGGGGAGAGGTCTCGGAAACTTCAGCCTTCAAAGAATATCAGCTATTTCAAAATAGCTGACCAAAAAGGCCAAAAGTTGGTGGCGCTCAGGAAGTGATTTGTGATGGCACAGGTGAAAAAAGATACTATTTATGTAGCAGGTATAAACACTTGAAATACTATTTCAACACCTATACATGAGCCTGCTTCACGGAGAATTTCTGGAAGAGGGCAAGATGGAGCATTAGGCCCAGGAAATATCAGGATTTCAGTTTTTTGGAAGAAGTAATGTATCCCACTCAGCAGAACGACCCATGGCGGCGTGGCAGCCTCTCTGTGCGCCTACAGATCTGCGTCGTGCTGCTCCTTTAGTCGGATGCACAGCACGGACTTGTGGAGAATCCCACAGTCGCAGAGGGACTTCGTAAGGTCAGAGAAACTCCTTCTGGGCACCTCCATCGTTTCAATGCTGCAGCATTTGTACTCGGCCAACGTCTTCTGTTCTGCCATGGCAAGGACTGCCTGGAGACTGTCTGTGGGCTTGAAATGATGTTCAAATCTCTGACCAGAGGGAGATCGAATAGCGAGCAGCAATTGCGACTCTTCTTTCGGCAGCTCTTCCAAATTTAAAGTCGACATCGAAGAGCTCTCTTGCCTCATTTTCCTGCCTGGCTTCTTGGGAGGACACTGCGCGCGTAAACCTTCTTCACTGGGGACATCGGTTTCAGACAATATGCTGGCAGAGCCTTGTTCTCCAGAAAGAGTTTTGATTTTCGGAGCATCCTCCTGCTCCCCACTCACTTTCAGCTGGTCGATCTGTTCAGCCACCCCTTCCACAGCACTGATTCCTACGCCCTTCTGGCCGATGGAGGGGAGCACCCTGTACTTGTTCAGGGAAGAGGAGGTCCTCAAAGGCACTTGCTGCAGGAGCTCTGGGATTTCCTCAGGAGACACCTGGCCGGGCGGGAATGCCGGTTTTGTGACTGATGCTTTCCGGCTGTTCACTAATTTGTGGGGAGCTGCTGGCAGCGGGGAAGGTGGCACTCGACAAGGACAGGCTTCCACGCTCGGAGAGTAATTGAAGCTTGGCCTCATGCGTCCCTTGGCAGATTTTGGCCTGGTGACGTGCATGTTGGCGGCGTTTGTCCACGGGAAAGCGGCTGCTGTGCTTGAAGGGAAGTAGAGGTGAGATAGTGCTAAATTCAGAAGAGCCGCTGTGGCCATTGCTTCTCAAGGCACCTGTGGACAGGGGAGCAGAGGGAAAAGTTACAGGAATTGGCCAGAAAGCTTCTAGAGAGCTTAATCTCGCTACAGCTCTCACTTTTGTGCTGCATGTCAGCTAATAATAGCAATAAATCTGGTGTATCAGCACGTAGGCAGCCAGCAATCCCACGGTTCGGTAACGGCTGCGTCAGAGCGAGCAGGATATGTGTATTTATATGTGCTGGTTTTGTCAGGAATTGTTTAAAGTTGACCCAGAGCATCGTGAAGTTCTGCTTTTCCCAACTTAAAGAAAGTTTTTGATGGAGAGAACAGAAACATTTTAGCTGAAGCTAGAAACTCGGTGAAAATGGGAGATGAGTGAACTTCAAAGCAGAGGTCTGGCCTTTTCGCTGTTGTGGAAAGATTAAGTGGAAGATTAAGTTCCCGTGACGAACTTTTGGGTAAGACTGACTGCGCTTCACTTTTTACAAATCTCTGAAGACCTCTGAAATTGAGTATTTCTGATTCAATACAGAGAAACCCATTCTGACTTCTCCTGTGACCAGAAGCTGCTTAACAGCTCCATTAAAGATGAAACCACCTTCTTATGTGTGTTCCCCAACTTAAGCCGCACTCAGAGCACTCGTGCTTTACCAGGACAAAGCCCAAAAGCCCAGACAACCGGGCTACAACCTCACAACAACATTTCAGAGAAGCGCGACGGGGTCATGCACCTCTTCTTCCTTTTCTGTGGTTTGTGTGGCAGGATTTGTCAATGGGGGAAAAAACCCATCAGCTTTGATTGCTTGGCATTCTCCGGTACTGGTAGTCAGACTCGCCTGCTGCTCATCACCCCAAAACAAACTAACAAAGAGAAGGAAACAGCCACTGTGGTTGTTCCACAACCTTTTCCCAGCGATACATTAATTAACACTTGGTTTCTCCTCTACCACCGTGAAATGGAAATGCTCGGCAAACCAGCGCTGAGTAAAGCCAAGGCGGAGTCCCAGCGCACTGGCACACCCTGACCAGCTCCAGTACGAAGCTGCTTGGAGAAATCTGTCCCTCTGTAAGCCTCAAGCAGAGCTCTGGACAGGGAGGGTCACGCCGCCCAAGTGACTCATTGGGGTTTCCTAGGAGCCTGTGGGAAGGAGGGGGGTGTGGGCCATTCATTCACTGCCTCTAACAAATAAACTCCAAAGCAACGAGCTGTAGTTCATCATTCTCTGAAGAGGAACTTCCGAGCGCATCAGGGCATTTGCCACATATCACCAATTATACTGCCAGTTTGAAGAATAAAAACCCCAAAACAAGCAACCTGCCAGAAACTATGGCAGGACCTCAGCCAGAGCCTTAGCACAGCATATGTGAGAGGTTTACCACGAGGAGCCATTTTACATATGGCGCATTTTACGTTCAGGTGCCTGGGTGAGGGGTCAGGGTGGGGAACTGCAGTCAGGGAGAGCTGTGCCCACATGCAGCCCAAAACTCTGCGACCCCAGGGCCTGGGAGGGCAGGC